TCCAGCAAGCCCCCAGTTCTAGCAACCAGCCCATCTGTGCAGATTCCTTGAGGGAACAGTGGAGAAAAGAGGGTATTTCTGTCCCTCGGTTGCTGTTCAGAGCAGGGGGAACCGTGAATTGCTCTGTCTCCTCTCTGTCCGAGTGATACGGCAGTGGGACCAGCTGCCTGGAGGGGTGCTGGGCTCCCCCACACTGGAGACATTCAAAGGGAAACTGGGCAGCCCTCTGAGTGGGATGGAGTGACTTGGTGACCTGCAACACGGGGCTGGACCGGTGGCCTTCATGGCCCCTTCCAGCTCCACCATTCCGATTCCTCCAGGGCTTGGTGCTTCCTTCACTGAAATGAATCTTAAAATGTAAGAGGTAAGGGTGAAGGCAGGTCGGCCCTGATGGGGGACACCTCGAGGCGGACGGAGATCACCAAGCCAAGATCTTCCATGAAGGGAACAGCCAAGGACAGTCCAGGTTACGTTTGAATCGTAATGGCATCTGTAGGTGCAACCAGAAACCTGCAGAGGGAGTTTTCCAGCCTCCAAAGGAAAGCACGCATCCTGCTGGGTGCTGGAAGGGGTCTGTGTTAACATGGGTGCTGTTGTGTTGCAGCACCGCCGGTGGTCAGGGTGACCCGCCAAGCGAGTCATGGCGACATGGAGACCCTCGTCTGCCAGGCCCATGGCTTCTACCCCAAGGAGATCGATGCCACTTGGAGGAAGGATGGGGAGGTCTGGCTGCAGGACACGTTCCGTGGCACTGTGGCCCCCAACTCGGACGGGACCTACTACACCTGGCTGGGCATCAGGATCAGCCCCCAGGACCGAGGGCGCTTCTGGTGCCACGTGGAGCACGACGGCCTGTTGGAGCCTCTGGACGTGGCCTGGGAGCAGCCGAGTGGTGAGGGACGGCCGGGAGGACGGAGGGAGGGTGGGGTGGAGGATTCTGGGAGGCGGACCCGGACCCTGGGTGCAAGGAGGTGCCCTCAGGAGCACGGGCTGCGGCAGAGACCCCCAGGAGCAGCCTGCGCCCCTCTCGGTGCAGAGCAAGCTCAGTACGGGCAGGCTGCTAACAGGGATCTTGCAGTCGGCCAGGTGGACTCGCCTGCAGCCCTCAGTGGCTGAGCCAGCGGGAAATGTTGGGAAAGGATTTGGTGGGAATGGTTCCACAGGAGCCTCGTATGCCTGCATGTGGGGAGAGGCCCCTGCTCCCAGCCCAGCTCTGTTAGGCTCTTCCCAGCCCTGGCCAGTGGCGCTGGAGGGGCTGCTCCTCATATACCCCCGGCTCCCACCTCAGCCCCACACTGCATGGCCTCCCCAGTCCTGACCCCTCTCCCCCCAGAAGAAAATGGTGCATGGACTTTCCCTTCACTCCTGTTGCTCTTTTTCCTAATTCAGCATCCAACACGGGGCTCATTACTGGGTGCATCACGGGAGCTGCACTTCTGGTGGCTGCGATTGCCGGGACCTGTTTTTATAGTAAGTCAAGTAGAAATGGATTTCTTGGAAGCTCAGGAGTGTGTCTGCGGCTGCAGGGAATCGGTTGCCTGGCAAACCTACCCCGTTTGCGGGATCAGAGGAAACCAGGCATTTGGCTTCTCTGCTCCCCCCCACTCCTCCTCTGGGCAGCTCTGATCGTGAACACTGGCCGCCTTAGCCCCTGGTCGGGGACCCAGGGGTGTTGCGAGCCAGTCCTTCCTTTGATCTGGCCTGCATCTCCCACCAGTCAGCTTTACGGGATGACCTGTTTCGGTTCCAGGATGATGGGAGAGGGAGGAAAAGTCTCCCTCCCCACCTTCTCCACGCCACGGGCAATTCTGTCCACCTCTCATGTTTCCCCTCCCTCCCTTTGATCTAAGCTTAACTGACACAGGGATTGTAATTGTCCCTCACAGGGGACTTGCTGTCGCCCCTTCATCTTTTTCGTTGCCCTTCTCCGCTCTTTTCCCAACTCTATGCTATGCTGTTTCATTTTGTTAAACGACCACAAGGTGGTGCTGTGGCGTAGCCTCAGGGCCGCAGAACTGAGACAATACAAGAGCCTTTCCGATTGTCCCACTCCCGAAATTTGACACTTGACCTTCTTCACTCTAAAAAGAAAGGGAAAGGATGTCCAATTGGCTGCAAAACATGGGAGAAGCCCCAGAGGATGACAGCATTGTATAAAGCCCCCACAGACTTCAGAAGCACAAGCACACAACAAATGCTTTTCTTAGAGAAGCCTGTATAATGTTGGAGACAAGGCAGGAAAGGAAAAAGGACTGGGAGGGAGAAGGAAAAAGACCGATTCAGGACTGACGCTGAATCCGGCCACGGGAGAGGGTTGTGTGATGCTGCGTCCTGACTCTGGTTCTGTCCTTGCAGAAAAATGTCAACATGGCTGCAAAGCAGGCTCAGGTGAGTGACGCTCCATTGAACTGGGACTCTGATAAGCCTTTGAGGTTTTTGTTTGAGCTCGCCCCCAGTTTGTCGCTTTTCCACCCATTCCAAGTCCTTCTCCTAGAGGAAGCCCTTCCCAACGACATGGGATGGCTCCAATCCTGCAATCGAAAAGCCCCGTAACCAGACCTCTCCGGGCAGTTTGCAGCCCGCTCAAGCGTAATCCCGATGCAGCGGAGGCTGGGCGGCTTTGGGGTGCGGGTGGCAGGCCGCCTGCTCCCTGATTCGCTGCGGGGGCGCTGGAGGGGGACAGAAGAAGAGCCCAAATGGCCACGCATTCAGGGGACACTGAGCAAGTTACCTGTTGCGGGACTCGCAGCCCCATCCACCCCAAAGAAAGAGATGCCTCTAGATGCTTGTTTAAACAATGTGGGGGCACCTTAAAAACACTTAACAGTGAAACTACCAGGACCCACTTAAAAAACCAAGAGACACCGAGGCCCAGGTTCCCTCGTGGCACAATCATGGCTGCCAGAACGGAACGGCCTGGCTGGGCTTTCCCACCTTCGCCACTGCTGGCGTTTCCTGGGGGGCTGACGTGGCGTTTGTTCTCTCCAATGCAGGGAGGAGCCCAGCCATCTAGCACCCCGGAGGTGAGTGGCGGGGGGTGGACAGGGTGGTGGCTGCCGAGGGACGAAGGCCCCAGGTGGGATGCAGCTCTCGAAGATCGCGTCTTGGGGATGTTCAAGAGTGGAGTCCTCCCCAGGCGGGGGGGTGAGACCCCAACCTGCAGCTGCTACACTGGGGGAAATGCCTCCCTCCCACTGAAAATGGAGGAGCAGCAGGGGGATCCATGACCCTGAGCCCCCGAACTCTGGGATGGCTGGATGGGGAGGACAGCTCCCCTCCTCTTGCAAGGGAGCTGGTGTCACAGACCGCCCACTCCTGGCATGGCTGGATCTGGCCAAGAGTCCTGCACGATTCTTCTCGCCCTGAACTGGTGGTGAAGGAACTGGGGGTGGGGAGTGAGGGGGCCGTTTCTCGGAGAAAATGCTGGTGGAGCTGCAGCATCCATTCTCTGGTGGTTTGGGGAATCTTCCCCCCGTCCCCGGACTCCTGAGGCGGCTCCATCTGCACCCGCTGCTGCCTGGGATGAGGGCACTGAGGTGCCCTCTCCCAGTCTGAGCTCCATGCTGGACTCCGCCGTTCTTCTTTTTGCAGCCGACTGGCCGTCGCCCACACTCCGCGGGGCTGGCAAGATCCCCAGGTGGCAAGAGAAGTGGGCACTTCTGCATCTGGGGCTATTCCGTCCTCTGTGGGGGCTTCTGCACTCGCTACACGATTGCAGGGTCCAGAGGAAGGGCGCCTGGGATCGCACGCCAAGTCCCTGCAAAAGCGCTTTCTGTGACAGCTCTCGAGCCAGGCAGCAACAGCATTGCCGCACAAGCTGCAGCTGCCTGCGTTGCAATTACCTGGCCGGGGGGGGGGGGGCGGGGAGAAAGAGCTCACCTGGAGGTTATTTATAATTTAAGGGCAAGAACTAATTTCATTAAATAAACAAATTTATATTTGTGCCGGTTGTTTTTAATGATTGTCTAATTAGAGGTTATTTTATTACATCTGTACCCTGCCTTTCTTTCTCTCACAAGGGATGCCAGGCATCCTGCAAGGGGATCCTCTCCGCTTTATCCTCACAACAACAACCCTCAGCGAGTTCCGTGGCTGAGCAGGGACTAGAGCCCGGATCTCTGAGGTCCCCGGTCCAGCCCCGCACCAGCTCTCCGGGAATGCATTGCACTGGGTCTAAGGGTGGGCCACACCTGCAGAGCCCGGGAAGGGGAACGCGGCACGCTGGAAGCAGTGCTAGAATCCCTGGGGACCTGGTGCAGGGAGTGTGCCTTGCCCACCACCTCCTCTTTGACATTTCCCTCTCGAGGCTGAACTGTAGGAAGCAATGGTCCGCTCTGTGGTTTCCACGCCTCGCCATGGTTTCTTTGGTTGTCTGAACCCGGTGTTGCGGTTTCCATGCTGCTACCACAGAGTCCCTGGAAAGAGCTGCAACCGCTTCCTGGATCTGCACCAGCCGTCCAGCGTGGGATTGGTTTCCTGCTTGTGGCTGATGGGATACGTGCCAAATAGCCAGAGGACTTAGCAAGGAGGGCGCAAACTGTGGTAGCATGGAAGCCACTTCATAATCTCGGGCACATCCAGCCAAAAAACATGCACCGGGCAGGGTTGCTCCTGGTGATGTGTGAACCCGGCCAGTATCTTGTGTTGACGACAAGGACAGCATTATTTGGGTAGGTGCAGGGTGGTGGTTTCATGGATGCCACTAGACGCACAGACAGCGCTGAGCACAGGCGGATTCTGCTGGAAACTAGGGCCTTTTCTATGTGCCTGGTTACCCTCTGCAGTCTCCAGATGTGTGAAACGCCAACTCTCCACAACAGAGGCGGCTGAGGGAGCTTCTGTCCAAAGAGCATTTCTTCTGAGTGTTAATACCTGCCGCTCTGCACTTTGCAGGCGCTATCCAGGGTGCTGAAGGTAGTTCGGGCTGGAGTTCAGGAACCAGGACAGGTCCTACACAAATATAAAAAATCACCAGGAGCCCCACCGAGTGGGGTCGCCAGCCTGCCTGGCCTTAAGACCCCTGCCAGCATAGCCAATGGCAGGATACTGGGACTCAAAGCAGCTGGGAGTCCGGCACGTCTCTGTTCTGCAAGGGTTTGCAGCCCCGCTGAGCGCTGCTCCAGGCTTCTGTCGGGATGACGCTAAACCAGGACGGAGGGAGACCGTCCACCCATATTAGGCTCCCACATGCCTGGTCCATGTGCTCATAGATGTTTGCAGATGAAGGAACATAGAAACATAGAAAACAGCACGAGTCAGAAGGGGTCTCCCGGGCCATCTAGTCTGACCTCTGGTACCAGCCGGCTCTGCTCACGACATGCCCACCATGTGGACGTCCAGCCTATCCTTGAACACCCGCACCGATGGGACCTCAACGACCTCTCATGGAAGCCCATTCCATAAACCATCTGTTTCCTCTGTTGCTGCTTATCAGTGCTAGCAGGAACGTATCGCTAGACAGAGTTGGCATCACGGAACATGCAAAGCACGGATTTACCCTGCGCTGAGGGACGAACCAGCAGCTTTGCCCCCCTGCTGGCCGGGGGAGCGCACCAAGCACGGCCGAGGCGCGGCGCCGGGGCGTGCAGAGGGCGCTCGTTGCCCGCGGGCCCCCGGCGGCCCTCCGAGGCTCCGCGTCCCCGCCCCACCCAGCACCCCACCGCTCCCCGCCCCTTCCTCGCTCGCTGGGGGCGGGGGGGTGCGCGGCGCTCCCACTTTCATGCTCGCTCCGCCGCGGAGGCGCTTCGCTTTCGCAGCTGCGGCCCCGCCCTCGGCCCCGCGCGAGGGGACGCGTGTTCCGATTGGCCCGCGCTCCCGCCCTCGGCCAATCGGGGCTCCGAGCGACCAGGGCGGCGGTGGCGGCGAGGGGCGTGGCGGGCGCGAGGCGCGGGATGGGAGGGCCCCGCGGCCGCGCTCTTCATGGGGCGGCGCCCTCGTACCGGGTCTCCTGCTGCGGCGAGTGCAGGCCAGTCGGGGCGGGGGGCGCGGGGGGGGGGGGCCTTGGCCGGGGCTTTCCCTTCCCAGCCCCCGGACGGGCTTTGGCCCCAGAAGCCCCGGGGCCGCCGCTTGGGGCCCCCATCGGGAGCCCCCGGGGACCACGCATCGCCTGGCAATCGGCCCCCCCCCCGCCACACCGCCCCCGCCAGCAAAGCCGGCCTGGCATCGGGAGAAGGGGCAGGAGGCGCGGCCTTGTCTGCACTGGGAGGTCGCCCACGTCCGAGGGCTACTTCGACCAATTCTGCAGTCACTCGTGGAGACGACCGGCGTGTAGCTTGCTAGTAACATCCAGCAAGCTGATTGGTCTGTAACTAGTAGGGTCGGATCTCGTCCCCATTTTATGAATGGGAATAATAATGGCGGGCCCCAGTGCTCCGGGATGCACCTTGAATTAGGAATGGAAGTGGAGTCCACCACTTGGGTCAGGAAGACTATTATCCCCACCAGGTGTCTTACCTGGTTTGAGCTGGGAAAGGAAATTCATGATCTTGGAGGCAGAATTCGGGGGCCACTTAAGCAGACTATGTCATTTCATTCAATTCATCTATTGCTGGTTTCAATGTATTTATTGCTGCTTCACAGCAATGAAAGAAAACACAGAAATGTATTTCCTAAAATACATCCATAACTTTAAGAACATCATTATAATGATCCAAATAGTTTATTTCACCAACACTAAGAGATGACCGAGCACTTGCTCTCTGCCTCTAAAGGGCAAACCTCTGCCATATTATATGCAAGGGGGCAAAACTGTCAACAGGTGGCAAAGGCTGATAGGAACATCCAGCGCAGTGGGGAGGGGACTCACTGTCCTCCCCTCATCACCCTGGGCTCTTTTGGCTCTTTGAGGACTGTGCCAGGGGGAGAGAGGGGTGCAGAGTTCCCTATCAGGTACCTAATATGAAATGTTGTTATTAGCCATGAAGTCGTGTCCATGGTCGGATATGGACCATGGCTAAGCCAGCTGAAGCAAGTGGGTTTTCAGAGCTGTCCTGATGGCTTGCAAAGAAGGAAGGCTGAGCCGTGGGGCCACCACTGAAAAGGTCCACTCCTTTGCTCTCACCAACCAAGGCAGCCAGACGAGAGGCCTCCACTGATGACCTGTGTGCAAACAGGCTGCCTAAAGGCGCAAACCTGAAGACATTTAGATGTCACATTTCGCCATGTTCTCACGGCCTAATTGTTGTGAGCCACCCCGAGGCTTCGGCGAATGAGGCGGCATAGAAGCTTACTAAATAAAGAAATAAAGAAATTTCCGCCCACCTGCAACTGGGCAATTGGGAACATTCATCTCCACACCCTGGGGATGGTTTCATCCAAACTGGATGCTTGTGTGCTCTGCGCAGATGCAGCATCAAGCCCGGAGCGGTGAAAACGGCTGCAAACAACCCATCCAGAGTAGCAGAGTCTCGCTGCTCCCTGGTGGCTCAATGCTGCAAGCCAGTTTGCATAGTTCGTTTTGTTCTTTGTACTGCTACGTGCAGAAAGTATCGCGTGTCACACATAGTGCTTGTTTATTGCTTGCTTGCTCCTGAGCCACCTGCCCCTTGTCCTGATAGGAGGAAGGGCGCTGGGGCCAAAGGCCACTGGGAAGCCTTCCAGCGCCGCAGGCGGAACCACAACGTGCAAGCGCCCATCATAAATGTCTGAGAGAGCGAGAGCGAGAGCGAGAGAGAGGAGGGAGGGATATGGTCTTCCAGATGCTGCTGCACCACGACTCCCATCAGCCCTCGCCAGCATAACCAATAGTGAGGGATGCTGGGAGCTGCAGTTGCGTTAAGGTGCAGCTAAGAGTCTCCGAGGGAGGGACTCCGCCTGAGGCGACCAGAGAGGAAGGAGCCCGGAAGAGCAGGGCACGGGCGTGCAGGCGCCTCTCCATCCCGGACACGAATGGGGTTGCTCTGGTGGGGGGCGGCGGCCTTGCTGCTGGGGGGTAAGTGCCTCCGGGCGCGAGCAGCTGGGCGGGCCAGTGTATGCGGAGGGGGCTCTTGGCTGTGCGTTTACTTCTTGGGCAGATGCCCCCCTCGTAATCCGGAGTCGCTCCGCTTCCGCCTCCGCGGAACACCCGCCGCTCCTGTGGGGTCCCCTTTGGCTGCGGCTGCTTTCAGGACAATGCGCCGGCTGGCAGTCGCTTCCTCGCAGCGTAGCAAGGCGAAGATGGGGCGGGTGGTGCGGTCGCCTGCCCGCCGGGCCTACGGGCTTGTCTGGAGTGGCGGGTTCCCGCGCGTCCAAAAGTTTTTGCAAAGTTGCACCTGCAGTCGGAGCTCGCCTCCCGCGAAGGCCTCGCTGTGCAAGGCCGCTTGGCGAGCGGCGGCGGGGCGGCCGTTTCCGCAGCGCGGGCGGCCTCGCACGCTTCTTGCCCAGCCCCGTCCCGCCGCCAGGGGGCGAGCGGACTTCCCTCTCCGGCCCTTCGAACACAACCTCCCCCCCACCCCCCGCTTAAAGATCCGGATCGCTTATTCCTCTCCGCGAGGCGCCCCGCCTTCCTGCGTGTTCGGTCCAGCCCGCGTTTCGCTCCCGGGAATGGCTTTGCAAGACTCGTTTCTGCCCCTGCCGGGCTTGGCTCACACAAAAAGGGCGCACCGCTCCTCGAATGTCCTTCTGGGGCAAATCTGACGGAGAGGGGAGATAATGATGGGTGTAATTGCGCTCAGACATTTTCCTTCTCCCGTTCCCTTACGGGTCGAGCGAAGGAGCAGCAACAGCCTGCGAGTTCTGGACGTTTTTCCTGCCTAAATGTGTGTAGGCTCGTGGCCTAAATGCGTGTTCTGTTAAAAACATTCTGCCTTGCTGCGTTGTAGACGCTCTTCACTTTTTAAAGGTTTTTTCCCCCCACTATTAACATTTCATTTCTATACCGCGCAATAGCTGAGGCCATTTATTGGAAAATGGCCTAGACAATTCTTTAAAACAAGAAATAAATAAAATATTTCCGTGCCAGGAGATAGAGATTAAAGGAGTATACTTTTATTATTACACTTTAATACTGCCCATGTTGGCCTTAGGACTCTCCGAGTGGTTTACAAGTTTCCCACCAGCCCATGGGATTGTTCGGACACCCCCTTCTGAGGCCAGAGACAGCTCTCTTACTTCCAGGGGGATTTGGGGAGCTGATTCTGCTCCCCGACCTCTTGCAGCAGCTGCTGCTGGAAGAACCACTCCAGCTGCCCTCCAAAGTCAGGGAAGCCACTTCAGAGGAGGAGAACATGGGCGGTCCAGGTGGACGTGAAGGACTGAGACCAGAGAGGCCAGGATGGACGGCTCCCCCTTCAGCAGATGGCTGAGAAGCCCACCCTGCAAAATCTGCAGGGCAAAAGTGACAGCTGCCTCAGTGGCTCCCCCTGCCCTGGACTGGAAGATCAAAGCCTCTGGGATTTGAGGCAGAGGAGGAAGAGGAAGAAGAAGAGCAGGTCTGAGCTGGACCAGTCCCATCAAGGAAGCTACGGCCTTCGAAGGGCTGCCCAGGGCAGGACATCCTGGGGCGCTTTCACTCGCAGGGTCGCCAAATGTTGGAGGTGACCGGACCACACGCGAGGAGAACATCTTCCCTGGAAACCCACGTCTGAAGCATGGGATAACCCTCTTCTTTCCTTTACCTGAGCAGGTGTCTGAGACTCACCTGGCCAAGAGCGGAAACGCCCCCAGCAACAGATGTACACACCTCAGCAGAGTGCTGTCGGCTTCAGTAATGATACCTCACGGGCTATAAAGTTCTGTTCCTCTCAACCCACAAAGCCCTCATATTTCCCTGCCAGGAGGGCATTAGCAGAGCTCAGGAATCCTCGCTGGGGGGCTCCTCGTTCTCCCAGGGTCTCTGGTCAGCCATGGCTGAATCCAGCCACTTATAAATGCATTGCCAGCCATAGCTCCAGTTCCTCTACCTGGGGCACACCTGGGCTGCACCTGGGCTGTTTGGACCAGTCCCAGCTCATTCCTGCGAGCCCAGGTGCCCCTCTCACGCAGCCTGCACAAAGCCCCCTGTGGGGGTCCATCTCCTCACGAGGAAAGAGCTGCTCGCTTCCAGGGAAGAAGCCCCCCATCCGTGGAAGCTCCTTGCCCAGCTCCAAAACAGCCGTGGCACTCGCAGCAGCTCAGGGCATGTTTGCAATAATCACCTCGTGCAGATGGCTTGCGCACACAGGTTATGATGACCGGTGTCCCTATGGAAACCCACTGGTTATCCCCAGCAGAACGCCATGCCTCCTTCTCCACACCCCTCTCTCCTCCTCCAGGCTCTTCCGCTCACACCCTGCTGTATTTCTACACGGGCGTGTCGGAGCCCGGCCCAGGGCTGCCCCGGTTTGTCGCGGTGGGGTACCTGGACGACCAGCTCTTCCTCCAGTACGACCGCCGCACCGGGCGGGCCCTGCCCCGAGTCCCCTGGGCAGAGGAGGTGAGCAAGGAGGACACGCGCTACTGGCAGTGGATGACCCAGAACTTCCGGGACACGGAGCGCACCTTCGGGGTGGCCCTGGTGACGGTGCCGCAGCGCCACAACCAGAGTGGGGGTGAGTGGGGGGCAGGAGCAGGGGCAGGAGATGGGGAGAGCCGGTGGGGAGGGCAGGGCAGGGCAGGGCAGGGCAGGGAGCTCCTTCCTCCACCCTCTGATCAGTTTGAGTGAAACCATGCGGGATGAGGGGGCAACGCCACGTGCTTCTGGGCGTTCGATGGCATGTGTTGCGTCCGCAGCTTCATTCCCGTCTCCTACCTCCCCCCTTCCTTGTTGCCTCTGCCACCCGCAGCATCTGCTCCCCCAGCCCAGGGGGGCACCCCCAGGCAGGCGCCTCTCAGGCCTTTGCTCACTGGCACTCGCACACCCAGCGTTAGGGGCGCAGCTGGACAAGCAGTTAGAGAGTCTGTCTTTACTTGTGTAAATGCACGAGGAAATTAAGGGCTTTTGGACTTCTAACCTGGCTCTGGCTGGGCTGCTTCCTCGGAGGCTGAACCTGCCTCGCTGCACTGCCCAACCGTCCCGGGGGGGTGGGGGGCCTTGGCTGGAAAGGGGCACGAGGCCTTTCCCGGGGCAGGGTGCAAAATGCCAGCCCCCCTTCTGGACCCAGTGGGAATTGGTGGGGGACCCTCCCGCTCTGCCTCCCCCAGCCAGGCAGGGAGGGGGCTCCGGGAGGAGAGAGCAGCTCCAGCGCAGACGCCTCCTTTGAAAGAGCCCCACCCACACTCCATCCTCCGAAAAGAGGGGAGGACGAGCCAGGCAGGTCCCCTTCAGGGCCGTGATTGCAGCGGCCTCCCCCGAAAGATCAATAGGGCGGGGGGGGGCGTGTGGGCCAGTGCCCCCCTTGCATTTCGGGATGTGGAGAAGGCACTGGTGGTGAGGGACAGGAGCACCCCGAGGCCGTGGGGCAGAGCCCAGGCCCGGGAGGGGGCCTGGGGGGTGGGAGAGGGAGGCAGGGACCGTCTGGCCGCAGTCACAGAGGGTGTCAAAGGCGCATCTGTAAGGCAATGCTTCTGATCACGCAAATCTCCGGATTCTCTGTACTGCCGGAGAACTTTGCCTCTTTGGAGAGAACTTGTCCCCCCGCACCCCCTTTGTGCGTTTGATATGGGGACACGGGCAGGTTGGGGAGTGGGAGAGGCAGGAGCACCCAGAGGATGTGGGGCAGAGGCCATGGGGGGCCCATGGGAGGGGGCAAGAGGGTCCGCCCACTCCCAGGGGGAGGGCAGCACACGAGCAGCCTGTTCAGGGAGCGCCAGGATTCCCAGGCTGGGCGCGCGGCAGGAGTGCCTGGGGTCACTCACTCGCTCGCTCGAAGGCTGTGCGTGGGGCATCCTTCCGCTCGTGGCCCCGGTGCTCCTCGACCGCCGCCATGCCTGCCTCTCCTCGCAGGCAAACACTTCTGTTCGAAGCTCGGCCGTGGCTCTTGCGGGGCTGGGGGGAGCAGCTGCCCCACCTGGCCTGTGCGCCTCTCGCAGGGTTTCACACTTTCCAGTGGAGGGTCGGCTGTGAGCTGAGGAGCGATGGGAGCAAAGGAGGGTACTCCAAGTTCGGCTACGACGGGAGGGACTACATCAGCCTGGACATGGAGACCCTCACCTGGACGGCACACGACCCTGCAGCCCAGAACGCCAAGAGGTTGTGGGACGCCAACGCGGCACGGAACCGGTACTTCAAGACCTACCTGGAGGAGGTCTGCACCATGTGGCTGCGGAGACACCTGGCCTACGGGAACGAGACTCTGCTGCGGGCAAGTGAGGGGAGGGGCCCCGGTTCTCCCCACCCACCATGGCAGGGGCGGTGGAAGCAGGGGCCGCCCCACTTCAGTGCACCGCTGGTGGGTGGGGTCACCCTGAAGTTTGCTCCCGTGGATTTGGCACCGAGCGAAGCAGGGAGGCGCAGGAAAGTGGCCCGCAGGGACGGGCTGCCCGGGCCTCCCAGCTCCCCGGATGGTCCAGGAGGCCTCCTGCTGCTGCCACTGCCTTGCCCCACGGCACTTTCGGTGGGGCGCCGACCTCCTCCTCCAGGCCACGTGTCCCACGGTTGCCCATCTGCTCGTGCCTGCAAGAGCCACAGGCATTCTTGCAGAGAAAATAACTGCGAGAGAGTGGGGAGAATGGACTGGTGGGCAGTCCAGAGGTTTTTTGGGGGGGGGGCACCCTGACTTCCCTCATCCAGGCATGTGCTCGAGAGGCTGCCAGGATTGCCAGCATCCGCTTTCTAAAGTGTGGAGTTTGCAGCATGAGTGTCTGAGCATGTGCAGAGTGCCTTCCCCCTTGCAACGGGGAGTGAGGCACCCCTCCTGCCCTGGATGAGATGGATGCTGCTGCTTCCACAGAGCCCCCGGTGGGGAAGGTGACGCGCAGGGCGGGGGGCAACGGCACGGAGACCCTCCTCTGCCGGGCCCACGGCTTCCACCCCAAGGAGATCGATGCTGTCTGGACGAGGGACGGGGAGGTCTGGGCCCAGGACACCTTCCGTGGCATCGTGGCTCCCAACGCCGACGGGACCTACTACACCTGGCTCAGCGTCAGGGTCGACCCCCGGGACCGGCGGCGCTTCCGGTGCCACATTGAACACGACGGCCTGCGGCACCCTCTGGACTTGGCCTGGGAGGAGCCTGGCGGTGAGCGAAGGCTGCTGCCCGGGGGAGGACGCGGGGGGGAACGCTCCCCAAGGAAGGCCAGGCCAGCCCAGCTGCCCCCCACACTGGGAAGCCAGCATGTGGGGCTTCCCTTCCAGTATTTTGTGCTTCTCTGCCCTGCCCAGCCACCCCCAAGGCCAGCTGCCCCACAGGTGCTCACGTGGCACCCCGGGGTGGGGTGGCGACACTGACCTCGCTGCTGTACTTGGCTGCCCCTCTGGGCCCGTCGTGGCTTGCTGTCCTTTCCCTTTCTCAGGGACTGCAAGACGGGGCTGTCAAGCTGGATTTCGCAATCCTGTTCGACACCTCCGGATGGCCCCTTTAAAGTGCCCCAAGCCCCCTGCCTTCAGAGGGGCCGCACACGGTTGCCAAACCCGACAACGTTGCAAATATTCGTGATGTTTAAAAATATGGCTACACTGGCACAACGTCAGAAGTCTGGAGTTGTGTGTGTGCCGGGGTGGTGAGGCTTCGGTGGGAAACATGCAGGGCGATGCCTTCCGGCAAAGTCCCGCCAGCATCTTCTCGGGGCAGCTCCCCCCAGAGGCTGCAGGTAAGTTCACCTCCTGCGTTGATTCCATCTGACAGGTGTCAAAAGGTGAGCTGTCAGGTGCAATCAAGGGCATGGGTGCTCTTACCTTGCCAAAATGGGATGGTACATCATTCATCCCGTTGCGAGAAGATCCTTAAGGTTTGGGACACGTGTGTCTTAAGGGTTGTGCTTGTCTCCAAGATTCTACCATTTTGAGAACATGCACGAGTCCAAGCCACCCCACCCCCCAGAGCACCTTTGACAGTTGTCAGAATTAATGCTCCTTTTTAAAGTGGGATTTTGCAGGGTATAAAGATTTTTTGGGGTACTTCTACAGGTGTGCGTGTGCATGAGAGAAACTTTAAAGGGATAAAAGTGGCGACGAGCCAGAAAAAGGGCACGATCCGGGCAGGGAGGGGAGGAACAACCTGGGGCCCCCACAGCATCCCACGAGATCCCTGTGGGAGGAGGGGGGAGGGGGCCCGCAATCCGTGGTGATGCCGACTGTGTGCTGGTGCCTGGGGGTCCTGGGCGATTAACTCACCAAGTGCTGCTTATTTCGAGGCGTGGGGTTCTGTGCCTTCCCATTGCTGAGGGTTCCCCTCTCTCATCTTGTGGGGTTTTCCTTCCTGATTCTCCTTCAGCATCCCAGTTGGGGCTCCTTCTTGGGTGCAGCTTGGCAGCCGCCCTGATTGCCGTGATCGTCCTTGGGCTGTGTCTGTGCAGTAAGTGAGCCGGGGCTGCATTTGTTGGGAGCTCGGGGGTCCTTCCGGGGTGCAGGGCTCGCTTGCCCGGCGAATCGTTCCCCGCTTGGGGGATCAGGGGAGCCTGGGCTGGCATGGGCCTTCGCTGCTGCATCTCACCATGAGCATTCGCGGTCTGAGCCTCTTGCAAGGGGTCCATGTGCGTCCCAAGCCAGTCTGGACCTCGCCAGGCTCTTCCTCCCTCTCCGTGGGTCCTGCCTCCTCAGACACTGGCCCAAGATGCAGCATGGACGTCTTTTCCTAAAACAAGCCCCTCTGTTCACCCAACTGGCTTCTCCTGATTTGGGCCCCAATGCTCCTCCGTTGCATCTCCGTAACTACCCCAGACATACTCGCAGGGCCTGGGAGTCGTTCTGGGAGCCCGGGGGTGCGTTCTTCCGATGTCTGGTGCTCAGAGGAGTTCTTTGGCCCAAAGCGGCTCAGAGGTGTTCAGGAGAAGCTCCGGGAAGAAGGGCGCTCCCACCAGCCCAGCCCAGCGACTTCTTCTCAGCCCGGCTGCAGCGGCACCATCACCCTCGAAGGGCACATCCCGCTTTCTAAGCAGTGGACGGAGAATGCCCTGGAGCCATCAGAGCTGCAATGACTATCCAAGAAAACAAAACTAACCAGCCATCAAGCAGCACTCTGTCTGTGTGATGCAAAGCATGGCCTGAGCCGGCTTTGGGGGCGGGGGGGGGGGGCCCAGGGGCATTGGAGTTATGGTGGAGCAAATCGGGGAGGGAAGAGTGGAAAGACTTCCCATCTCGAGCAGTGGCAGGCCCTTGCAGAGCTGGTGCGACGCCTTCCCTGGCGGGATGTATGGAAGATGCCAGAAAAGCACCTCCTGGGGGCCTGCCTTCATTGCAGAGGGTCAGACTGGATGATCTCTGGGGGAATCATCCTGAGTTTATTCAATGCTCCCAGGGCAGCTGACAAAGATGGCAAAGAGACAGTCACCGCCCACAAATGTGCCTTCTCAAAGACATCAACATAGTGGTTGATTTCATTGCTGTACAGTGCAATAGCCAAAGTTCCCTGTGTGGTTTCCAACAGTGTAACACGACATCAGAGGAAAGGGCATTGGGAGGGATGAGGAGCAAAATGCAAATCCGGGCCCTGGAGCTGTATCCAGCCACGAGGGGGGGGGGGGGGGGGGGGGGGGGGGGGGCTGGAGGCCTGAATGCAGCTTTCTCTCTCTCTGATTTTGGCTTTTCAGAAAAACGTCGAGAAGGCTATGAAGCTACAACAGGTGGGTGATGGTGTCTTTCTGCCTGCTTCCTCCACCACGGGGTGGGCCCTGAGTGGGGGGTGGGAGGAATAAAGGGATGGCTGCAGGATGAGCTCCGAGAAGCAGCTGCTGACAGAGGAGCAGAAGCAAGGAAACCCCCTGTTGATTTTCCAGGAGGATTCAGCTCACACTTCGATCGATCGCTTAGTTCAGGTCTACACACGCAGGGCTGCTTCTGAAAAGATTTTGCAAGAAAGTGCCTGAAAGGCAATTCAGTGTCCTCCCATCTCAGGATTTTTTCTGGGACTGCCCCCTTCCCCGGCCCCAGGCGGCCCGGGGTGGGGTGGAGCTGGGGGGGCAGCTGGCTGGAAAGTGAAGCATTGCCCAGCACTTGATCCCTTGGCCAGCCATGGAGACAAACACATTCCATTCATCATTCATTCATCCCATTCTGAACGTGCCCAATAGCCCGAAAGCGCAAAGTGGGATCACAGAGCAAACTAGACTGAAAAGCAGCAAGAAAACCTGGGATCTGAGCATGGAGAGAGAACTTTTGTTCTTCTCCTTGCACAGAAGTTAGAATCACAGGGTCCTTCTGTCCCCTGCAATCCCTGATGCGCCCTCTGGGGTCTCCTTCAGGGTGGAGCGGCACAGCAAAATAGATATTAGAAAGTTAGTGACTCGTTTTGGGCATTGTTCCTTCCCACTTCCAACTGGTGGTAAAGTGACGGGGGAGCAATTGTGTGTATGGGAGCGGGGAGGGATTTCTTGCAGAAAACAATGAGTACTGGAGACTTGACAAGCTGGTGTTTCAGGGCATCTTTCCTGCTCAAGTTCTCTCGCTTAAGGCTTCTCCGCCTGCTTCTTCCCTGCCTTGGGCGGGAGATGCCAAGATCCCGCTCAGAATCCGGAGCTGGTTCCTGGTGTTTCCTGGCCCGGACTTCACTCCCCCTCCACCTCTTTTTCTTCCAGTAGTGTGACAGAGGCCTTCCGACATCCTTCGCGCTCCTGGGCGGGCAGCTGATCCTCCCAGATCTGTCAGGAGTGGATCCTTCTGCCCCCTGGCGGGGACTTCTGTACCTCCTACAAGTTAGCTGCGACTGGTTTAAATTTGGGATCCCTCTTGCTCGTGCAGAGCTTTTGCCTGAGAAATTTGATCACAAATTTAGGGGCATGGCACATGTTCTGATACAACAGCAGACTTGAGAGAGCAACGGATCGACTTCGTGGAGCGTGCCGCCTGCGCCCGGATGCCCCCCCCCCCCACGTGCGCCCTCAGCCTTTGCTCTTGTCCGGATGGATCCGGGGCTGGTGTGCGCGTCACTGCAGGGTGGCGAGAAGGCAGGGGGAGGACTGCCCCTGGAAAGACCCTCCCTGTACCCTGCGCTCTGTACGAGTGCTTGTCCCGTCCCAAGCACCCCTTTCCCGAGCGAGGAGCTCGAGGGGATGGCGCTGTGCTGCAGGCACTCTGGGGTGAAATGGATCATCCGGATCCATCTGGATTCAGGCCTGGCTTGAGAATGAGCCGGCCAGCCGTGGGTCAGCCCTCCTGGGGAGAAGGACGGAGCGCAGCCCTCTTGCTGCTGCTGGAGCTCAGGGGCCTTGGCAGCGCTGCCCTGGGAATCCCCTGGACGGCCCTCATGGGAGCTGGACATGCTGGTCCGCAGGGTCCAACTTGTACTTGGGGGCCGGTTCCAGGGAGCAGCCTGGGTGGCCTCGGCCGGCTGCCTGGCAGACGATCCGGGAGCATTGCCTGGGAACTGGAACTGCGTCCTGAGGGGGGACGACGGATCTGGCGGTTCAGGAGTCCCGGGGCTGCAGCCAGCCATTCCCTGCTCCGAATGGGCTCCCCTCCCCTTGCAAGAGCGCCTAGTCGGGGGCAGTTCCAGTTCCGTCTTGGCCACGGGAGGGTCTGGGGCCCTCAGTGGCCAGCCATGCCCGTTCCTGGATCGGGCCGACCTGCCCCTGGGCTCCGTGCAGGGCGCCCCACAATTGGAGCGCAGAAGGGGTGTGGGGGAATCCACCCCGAAGAATTCCTGGGCTCAGTCCCCCGGACTAGGGTCTCGTTCGTTGCAGGGCCGAGTCTGAGTCCTTGCACTGTGCGACCCCCGCCCGGAATCGGGGCCCGTGTGCCGTGCACGGAGCGCCCTTCCTTTGCGCCTCCTTGCGCTGCTCTGCGGACACGAAGGGGCGCAGCCAGTTGCGCAGCGGCATCCCGGGGCATCCGCGGGCGCCCCCTGCCGCTCAGCTCCGTCGTGGGGGGCGGCAGGCCGAGAGGAAGCCTGCGTGCTGGGGAGGCGCAGCCCTTCCCGGGCGCTGGGCGGCCGAGATGCGCCCCGCGTGGGCCGGCCAGAAGCCCCGCTGGCGCAAAGGGTGCAGCCACGGCGCTCCCGGGACGCGCAGCCACCACAGAGGCCTTGGGGCAGAACCGCCCGGGCCGATCCGCCGCCAAGGAGCCACGTCCACAGCTGGCGTCGCCGCGCCCGAAACCGCTCCGGAGCAGCACGTCCGGCGGGCCGACGTCCCTTGCAGGCCCCCGGCCGGCCGGCAGGACCCCGGAGGAGCCCGCGCCGGTTGCGCCCAAGCCATCGGGCGCTCGCCATGCGGTGCCTCGGTGGCTGGTCCTCCTGGAGGTGGGGCTCGCTGTTGGGGGAAAGGGTGGAAAAAATATATATCCTTCAGGCACCTCCGGAAAGCGCCTGCTCACCAACACTTTGCCTGCCCCGCCATCCATCAGCCCTGCTGGTTCAGTCGTGGCTCTGAGTTGCCGCTATTACTGTTAGCATAGTTTTTTAGTGGGGATTGTAACATATGGAAACATTTAGGGATTTTTCTTAGTATTCGGTGGTATTGTACGTAAATAAATATGCAAACAATGTTGATTTTTTGCTGTTGTTGTTTAGAATGAATGCAGCATATTGAAAGCCAGTGTGGCACAGTGGTTAGAGCATCGGGCTGGGGCTCAGGGGTTGTGGGGTTCCAGTCCCCACTCAGCCATGAAACTCACGGGGTGACTTTGGACGAGTCACACACTCCCTGGTTTTGGCATGAACATGGGTTGGTCCAGGGGAAGAGGTTCTGGGACTTGACCTGCCTCTAAGCAGCACTCCCTGGCTTGAAATCACTGCTGTCCAGATCTCAGATATGCAAATGGACAATATTGGCTGTGGTGGTTAATCTATGGAAACAGGAAGACACTCTTCCTATGTTCAGAGGCACTCTTGTGTACCTGGCCTAGGGCAGATCCCACATCTGATGCTGTGCAGCAATAGCAGCCTGAAGTTTCTGGTGTCCGGGTGTCCCACCTGCACTGAGAATCACGGATGGGTGCAGGCTAAGAAATGCCCACTAAGGAATCAGAGCTGGGACTTTAAAATGAACCCTCAGCCTTTCCTCTGAAGAACCAAGTGCAAAGGTCCTGTTTGCTAACTGCAGGCTAACTTTTGATGTGACGCTGGGCTGAGGCATGGCCAGATGAAGAGTTCTGTGTAACCCGAAAGCTTTCATTCCTGAACTAGCAGCCTAAAATATATTTGTATCATGTATAATACATGCAGTATTTCTGTATTTCTTTTGACATCGCCCAATAGCCAGAGCTATTATAGGCACACATGAAATGGACATCATGTTGGCCTTTTTTAGTTCCATAATTGCCCTTTATCCCTCGGCTTGTCTTGCAGACACCCGGGAAGCCCCGCGGGAGGGCGAGGGCGGGGCTGCCTCTCGCGTCGCGTCGCGTCGCTGCTCAGCGTCCCTCGTGATTTCCAGGAAAGCGCCTGATTTCCGCCTCCGCTGCAGCGGCCAGCAGGGGGCGCTGCGGGGCCCCCCGGGCGGGAGAGGAACGGGTCGTAAATAACTTTTTCCTTTTTTGGTCTGTCCTGTCACCCAAGCTCTATTTTGGGATTTCAGCGTGGTACCCGCAAATTTTGGAGAACCCGCGAACAGAAGCGACGGCTTTAGGGTTGAGGTTGGGTTCCTGACCCGATCAGCGATCCCTCTTGCAAGTCCAGCTCCCCACTGCCCGGCCCACACCTAGATCTGCTGAGGCAGGCCTGTAAATTCTGCTGTGGGTCCCCCCCCCCCCGCCCCCCGGGCAGGCGCTCACACAGACCTTGACAGGTGCCTGCGCGGAAGGGGGCCGTCACTTAGTTTATGCTGCCTTTTAGTCCCTAACCCGGAACTCCAGGGGCTCCGCAGCCCCAAAGCTTCCCCCGTCGGAAAATACTGTGCGGGGTTTTCCCTCGAGAATGTTGCGCTTTTTCCCCAAATCAGGGAGAGAGGCCGGCTTTGCTTGGGTGTTGGTTTGTCCCGAGCGTGACGTTTTGCTGGGAATGCGGCTTTGCGGAGGGCGCGTGGTTGGGGAGGGGGTCACCCCCCCCTCCGAGCCTGCCTCCTCTGGGAGATTCTGACGAGTGCCGGTGCGGGGCTTCCCTGCGCTCTTTCTCCGCCCTCCATCCGCCTCCACCACGGGCGCCTGCCGCGCTGGCCTCTCGCCTGGAGTCCGATCGTGTTCCCAGCCCCTCTGTTGCTCGGAGCGCTCTCTCTCTCTCTCTCTCTCTCTCTCTCTCTCTCTCTCTCTGTGCGTGGGGGGGGGCACAGGGAGAATTGGTGCAACCAAGAAAATCCCCAAAGAGTGGGAGGGTCTGGTAATTTCTTAAACATTCAGGTTAGCTTGCAGAAAGTAGCAGCTTGCAAAGCTCTCCGGGGGCGAGTTCAGAGCGCGCAGGCCGGGCCGCCTGTTCCGGGAAATCAGGCGAGGGGCAGGAAGGCAGCCGCTCCTCCCCGCGGGCACCAGGGGGCGCTGCTGGCCGCCGCGGCCGCCTCTCGCGGGCGGGGGGGCCGAGAGAGCGAAACGGGAAAGCGGGGGGCGAGGCGCCGGGAGCCAAGCCCCGTCCGCGCCCCTCCGCGCGGAGCCGAGCAGCGGGGCTCGATGTGCCGCTTCCCGCGCGCCCAGCCGGGGCTCTGGCCCGGAGAGCCGAGGCGAGGCGTCCGGCCGTGCCCAGGCGAGGCTGCAGCCTCCGGGGCTTCCTCCGCGGCTGAGTCGCCCCCGCCAGCGCCGATCCTGGGCCTGGAAGGAGCAGCGGGCGGAAATGGCCCGAGTCCCGCCAGGAAAGGAGCGCTCCAGGTGCAGCCCGATGCGGGTTCGAACAGGGGGGAGCCCAACGGCGTGCACCGTGTCCCTGTGCACGTCTGAACACGGCCGCGGTCTCCCCAGTGCTTCGTGCCCGGATCCACAAGGCATCCCCATTCAGTTCAAACGAAGAAGGGAGCAATGGACAGGTTTTCCCTGGCCTGGTGGCCTGCAGATGCCTTGGTGTACAACTCCCATCATCCCCAGGCAGCAGCAGCAACCCCTTTGCCGGGCACCAGGCATCTGTATGCTCACCTGTATTGCCATAGGGGGTCACAGGCCTGAAAGGCTGCCCCACAACCAGAGAGCCCCTGGCAGCCAGAGCAGACAGCTTGGGCGGGATGGACCAGTGGTGTGACCCTGGATCAGGCCGCCTCCCTTGCCCCACGTCACTCCTTAGCCCACCTTCCCCACCTTGGCGCCCTGGTGGGATCTTGGGAGCCAAACTCCCAGAAGTAATGACCATGCCCAGGATGGTGGAGCTGTTCAGCGGCCCAAAACATGCGGGGGGCACCAGGCTGAGGAAGGCTGTCCCAGCGTGACCCCAGATGCTTCCACTAAAGGGCACCAGGCATCCCTTGGACAAAAGCTCCACCAGTAGATCCCCCCACCCAGTTTTGAGAAATGGTTCCCCACTTGTGACCTTCCCCCACTTGGAGCAGGTGCCACTGGTGAGCACTCCTGAGTCCGATTCTGGGGATCCACCCGAGAGCCGTTCCATCTGCCCTCCTTGAGCTACTTTGCTGATCAGGGTATCCTGGGGCACTTGGTCAAAATCCTTGTTGCAGACAAGAAATATTATGTCCACTGCATCCCCATCATGCACCACGTAGCAAAGTGGAGCGTCCGTGCAGGGAGAGAAATGAAGGGCCATAAAAAGCAGCCTCGAGGAACGGCAAGACTTGGCCTCGGAGACTGGCAGCAAATCCACGGAGCTGCTGAACGGCTGCCAGAGCAGAACCTTCTGGGCAGTTTGCTTTGGGATAGCGCTGGCATTCAGTCCGGGTAATTGCCTTTGTTCTTCAGTTAATACTGCCCCTGGCTGAAGAGCCCACAGTGAAGTCAATATTACTTGTTTATTTCGTGCCTCCGGAGCCATCGTGATCTGCCCCTCCCCATCCCGATAAGAGCCCTGCAGTTTCCTGAGCCAAGAGAGGGCGCAGGGCAGGAG